TCTCTGCGTTTTGGAGTTTTGACATCTTGCCGACCTGTTCACATGTAGGCAGGCGTTTCGGGGATGGCGAAGATTTCAAAACGCTAGCTGCTATTGCTATTTATTTTCCACTCTTCTTGCTCCTCGGTGCCATTTTCCTGCTGTGTCAAATGCACACCAAACTAGACTAATAGCACAGCTCCGCTTCTTCTTGTGTTGACTACAGATCCACGTGTCTATGAGTTGAGCACCGTAACAGCCATACTTCCAACACTTATAGATGCAAGTAGGACACAACATGATACGGAGGGATATTATATTATTGGGGAAAACACAGGAAAGAGATAGACAGGAGATAGACTACATGGCGGATATTGGATGATAGTGCTTGGATGAGGCTGAGGAAGAGATACGTTGCTTGTGCATGATGGGTTTGGTTTGCCTAGAAACCATACTGACATGCTGTAATAGGAACCCCTGGGACCTGGTATATGAGAGTTCTCTTATCCTAGCCGCAAATGTCACAAAGCGTGCCGAGTAAGACAGATATTGTTTTTTCCAGATGCATAGATACCGAAGCAGTTCCTCGAAATTGTATCTAGCAGGCAGGTATTGTGTGTGTATGTGTATCTAGCAGGCAGGTATTGTGTGTGTGTATCTAGCAGGCAGGTATTGTGTGTGTGTGTGTGTGTGTATCTAGCAGGCAGGTATTGTGTGTGTGTGTGTGTGTGTGTGTGTGTGTGTGTGTGTGTGTGTGTGTATCTAGCAGGCAGGTATTGCGTGTGTGTGTATCTAGCAGGCAGGTATTGTGTGTGTGTGTGTGTGTGTGTGTGTATCTAGCAGGCAGGTATTGTGCATGTGTGTATCTAGCAGGCAGGTATTGTGTGCGTGTGTATCTAGCAGGCAGGTATTGTGTGTGTGTATCTAGCAGGCAGGTATTGTGTGTGTGTGTGTATCTAGCAGGCAGGTATTGAGTGTGTGTTTAGTGATACAGTCAGACCTCTTTTATCCGGATCCCTCGCCATGCGGAAGAAAATCGTTGGTTACCGATTTACAGCATATGCCATGCACACATACAGTATGTGTGTTCGATTATCCGGTTCCCTCGCCTATCCGGATTTTTTTGTGGAAAATGGATGTGTGCGGTTAAGCAACGTCTGACTGCAGTGACTTCACTGGATACTGTAGCAAACTGATCAGGTCGTGCGCTGCATCACAAACTTCAGTACCAGCCCTACACAGTTTCAACCTTACCTTGAACAATGAGTGTGATGCTCTTTTGTGCTCTGCTAATGGGATTCCAAGCACTGCAGGTGTATGTACCTCCATCAGCTCTGCGGACACTGCTGATTTCCAGCTGAGAATCTGTCATATTGTGATGTATATTACTCTTGTTGGTGATTTGGTAGCCTAACTCATCCCACGAGTGCTCACTACTCTCGGTTCTCTGCCATGAGAGGGTGATATTCGTGCCGACAACCTGGCATCTTAGAGTAACATGGGTGGAGATAGTTGCAGTAACATTCTGTTGTGGAATGGCAATCGATGCCGGAACTAGAACAGACACAGCATTGACATGTGTACATGCGAGTCACTTTGTGAGTGAGAACACCCATCCATGGCAAACCAATCCGGGACCAGCCACAATCACAAGAGAGGGAAGAATCTCATGACTATTGCAGATTTTTGTCTAGTAAATGCTAGTCAGTAGCAATAGTGCTGTTGACATTGCATGGATGTTGAGTCACTGAATTCACTTTTTCTCAAAACGCTGCCAGGAAAGTAAAAAAGGCCAGCATTTCCCCAAGTTCCCTGCTAATGTTTACAGTTCATGGTATATTTGTATGTGAAAGGACTTGAGCCAAGTAATGGCAATATGATCATACTACAAAACAATAAAAAAATACAAATACACTGAAATACTCCCTGATGAACTTCCAAGGGAAAAACATTGGAGAGCATTACAACTGAAATTGCAGTGTACGGCTGTGGTGGTGGTGGCGGCGGCGGCGGCTGCGGTGGTGGTGGTGAAACTTTAAAGACGTGATTTATTGGCTGCAGCGGTGCTTCCGAATATTGAAGAAAGACATAAGAATGGACTTTAAACAAGATGAAGTGGACATTCATTGAATAATGACTAACGAAAGCACTCTGGAGTGGTGTAGTCTGACCATTGACCATGGGTTTGATTCAACACTATGCATTTCACAGGCTCGGCCGTGACATTTATATCATACCCGTCCACACATTGGAAGTATGCCATGTCATTCAGCTGGGTGGAGTTTGCTTCTATGCGGCCATAGAGTGGTGCATGGATCTGCGTAATCTCACAGTAGTGGTTGATTGCTGAATCAAGGCACGTAGAATAGTGGCACATGTATTCTTTTGAAATAAGTTTGAGAGCAGACTTGGGCGTGTTCACCCATCACGCCACACTGCACTTTTGCCAACCCACACAAATCGCATAACACCAGGCTGTCCAACTGTCCTACTTTGGACCAATACATTTGTGTACATTTACATGGGAGACAATTGCCTTTGTATACATTATATAAGGGTGTCCTGCTTTGGAACGTGGCAAGGTTGGACAGACTGTAACACATGCTACCGTCTTGAAGAACCTAGTCGGGACACTGAATGATTGAGAGCCTCCCCTTGAATGTCACGCTTTAGAGCTCAACCACGGCACCATACCTCAACCACGGCACCATACCTCAACCACAGCACTATACCTCAACCACGGCACCATACCTCAACCACTGCACCATACCTCAACCACGGCACCATACCTCAACCACGGCACCATACTTCAACCACGGCACCATACCTCAACCACGGCACCATACCTCAACCACGGCACCATACCTCAACCACGGCACCATACCTCAACCACGGCACCATACCTCAACCACGGCACCATACCTCAACCACGGCACCATACCTCAACCACGGCACCATACCTCAACCACGGCACCATACCTCAACCACGGCACCATACCTCAACCACGGCACCATACCTCAACCACGGCACCATACCTCAACCACGGCACCATACCTCAACCACGGCACCATACCTCAACCACGGCACCATACCTCAACCACGGCACCATACCTCAACCACGGCACCATACCTCAACCACGGCACCATACCTCAACCACGGCACCATACCTCAACCACGGCACCATACCTCAACCACGGCACCATACCTCAACCACGCCACCATACCTCAACCACGCCACCATACCTCAACCACGGCACCATACCTCAACCACGGCACCATACCTCAACCACGGCACCATACCTCAACCACGGCACCATACCTCAACCACGGCACCATACCTCAACCACGGCACCATACCTCAACCACGCCACCATACCTCAACCACGCCACCATACCTCAACCACGGCACCATACCTCAACCACGGCACCATACCTCAACCACGCCACCATACCTCAACCACGGCACCATACTGAACAAAGCACATGCATGGGGTGTGCAATAGCTTCTGTCTCTACAACCCATACTGCTACGATAGCTTCTGTCTCTACAACCCATACTGCTACGATAGCTTCTGTCTCTACAACCCATACTGCTACGATAGCTTCTGTCTCTACAACCCATACTGCTACGATAGCTTCTGTCTCTACAACCCATACTGCTACGATTGGACGCGGCAAAGAGGAGAGAGACTGTAACAGTAAGCATACTAAATTACTAGCAGCTCCAGTCGACACAACAAATCGAACTCACTCCTTCTGGACTAACCAAGAGTAAGTAAGTAAGTAAATTATCGTGTCCGTTCCCGAAGGGAACTCACGACGGCCGCTAACACCCGGTAAATCCTAGCGACAGATGCAGCGCCTAACGGTGGGGGTGAGTGGATAAGTCTCACAACCACTGGCACAAGTGCCGAGAACGACCCCATTAGCTGTATCCATGTACCCCTTGTGCCTGGCCACTAACCAAGAGCTGAGGGGAAACTCTCGTCGTAGCCAGCTTCATATTTCGGAATAAATGCAGGGAGTCATATCCGACTCCCTGCTGTGTTCAGAGTACGGTATGGGAGGCAGAATAAGGATGTGTGTAGAGAAATAGTTGTCCATTATGCATGAATAATAATAAGTAATTCGGGATCACCATACAGAGCATGCAGGAAGAGTGTAAGTCATTATGTGATTGGAAGGCCAACGGGAATGGGAGAAGCAGTCTCTAAGACCATTCCCGTCACAGAGACTCAGTAGAAATACTGAACAGGTAAAACAAGCAAAGGTGGAGGAAGAAGCCTGGAGCATGCAGAGCAAGTGACACACGAGCATAAGTGGTCCCAGTCCGATCCAATAGGATAGGTTGCAGGGGTGTAGGTATAGGATAGGTTGCAGGGGCGTAGGTATAGGATAGGTAACTGGTTGCAGGGGTGTAGGTATAGGATAGGTTGCAGGGGTGTAGGTATAGGATAGGTTGCAGGGGTGTAGGTATAGGATAGGTTGCAGGGGTGTAGGTAGACTGATCCGTGACTTTCTCAGCAACCAAGTGACTCTGCCAAGTTTGGTGCAATGTGGGCTGGTGCCAGGCATGCTGCAGGAACTACATAGCCGGGGACCACTCCAAATGGACCTGGGGCTACAAGCCTGTTTTTTTTAATGATGAGAAATACGACAAGCAATGCCCTGACCATGGATACTATTGGTATAATTCTTTCCTTGCTATAGAAGTAAATGCAGCATAACGTCAAGATTAAAGAAATGAGTGTGACAGTACTTCAAAGCATATGCATTCATGTTTCGACATCTGTGAAACCCAATCATAATTATGTACTTGCATAAACCAGTGTCTGCAACACAACAGCGTGCACTGATTGACTTGGAGGATCTATATGATCTGCACAACTCACCAATACACGTGTGAAAGCCCGAAATATGGGAAATCCCCATCACCCAGCCAACATGTTAAGTGCTCTTTATCTCAACTCCCCACACTTCTCATCAATGCTTTATCTCAAGAATGCACAGAGTACTTACGGCTGCATGATCCTCGTTCCGACCATCTACCATCGACCTCGGTGCCCGGTATGCAGCGAATGGAAGAATGGCGCTCCTTTACATATCCAGAATCACATTGATACTGACAGATGTCATGGATTCGCCGGCCAGAACAGTTAACGTTGCCATTCTGGATGGGAGAATAGCTTTTACAGTAGGAGGAATTTCCTGTACATGACAATAGGTAGAGGTATACACATTCAGCCAGTGAGAGACTCTACATGGCTATTTGACTCACTGAAGCTCAGCAGAGCTTGTCACCGGTTTTCTTTCCGTCAGGTTTTGGGTTCAATGCTTTGGGAAGTCTGATAGTCCCAAAATTAATATATTTGTCAAAATTGTAAAGCCATGCTGCCAGCCATAATATGAGCCATGCCATATACTAATATTCATAGGCGATGTCATATTTTCATCAAGAGCAAACAAATACCGTGGAAATAAAGAGGGAGATTTGTGTGTTCTTGAGGCAATACTTATTGTACTCTTGGTACATTAAAACAAAAACCTTTGACCCTCTGCACATACTCACTGCACATACTGCACCTGGATAGTTGGAGTTTGCCGAGATAATAATGGAGTACTGTACTTACGTTCACATTCGGGTTGGGTACTGGACCACATCTTGTTGGCCATACACACTCCAGTAAGAGAAGAATTTGGATGGTTGAGCATGTCATAGCCAAGTCTGCAGGTGTACGTAACTGTATCCTCGTACTTCAAGCCAGTCACTATGTAGTTACCATTAGTAGGTGCACCAGGGTCAGGACAGCTTATACCTGTAGACAATGTACCAATAGAGTCAACCAATAATATGTCTATATTTTAAAGTTTGATAGAGTTGAACAAAGGAAAACGTCTGAAGAAAAGAATGTCTGCCACCACCAGGAATCAAAAAAGGGAGCCTCGATTTTGGCTTGGCTCACGAATAGCAAGGTCCCTGGTTCGAGTCCCGGTGGTATGACTGATGATTTTTCTTTCTTTCATATCTGGCTTGCAAGTGTTGAGTTTCGGAGAGAAAAGAGCAGTACGTGGCATGTGGCCTCTAATTTCCTTAAACTTTGAAGATCTCCGTGAAGTCCAAATTTGAAATTGCAATGCTCTAAATGATAATATTTTTCTAACTGTTACATGCTAAATACGTGATAAGCGGCTATGATACATCATCATGATCATGTTTTCTTTTCTCTCTTAGCAGTGAGAAACAAGGCTAAAGGCAACTTGACAAACTAAAACTTTTAGTTAATGTTGCTGCTACTTGAAGTAGAGAAAGAAAAGGGGCATATGGATACAAGTTAAAAATAACTGTCTACCACTGTAACTAGATACTATATACAGTCAGAAAGTGCAACAACTAGGCACAAAACTGACAGAGTACTGAGACATTCGACGTCCTGACACCTAGCTCCTACATATGCATCTCCGAAGCGCTAACCAACACTCAACAGCCTTCCAACTCAGAAGGTTTTAGGATAAGGGGAGACCAACACGGTTTTGTGCAATTCGTCTTCAAAATGCTCCCCCTTCTGTACTTATCTTTGATATTTCTGAGGCGCCCCAAGTTGGGTGGTGTGCTGCTTTGCTGCTTGGATTTGTAGTTAGACCGCTTTGTCAAGTATCTTACTGGTCTCGTCACCGTCCGGTAACAATCAACATTCTTTGTTAGCTTGGGACTTTCAGCTTGTAGTCATTTTCGTTGCGCTTTCCTTCAAGGCTGTTGGCTTGCGCTTTGGAGATGTGTCGGCTAGCTGTCAGCCTAACTGTCAGGTCGTCAAATGTCAGTTTTGTGCCTACTAGTAGTTGTTGTTCTTTCTGACTGTACAATCTGCAGTCATGACCAAAGACATCCAACCCACGTGCTGAAAGCAGCGCCAAGGATCATGCGGCCGCTGCGGCCCTCGGGTCATTTTTGCGAACATGCATGATGTCATTGAAGTGGAAACGCGGCACTACTTTTGACTCGCGGGTCAGATTTCTTTGGCCACGATTGTAGTTACAGTCATGGACAGTTACTTAACTCGTATCCATATGTTCCTTTCCTTTCACAATTCATTATTGACTAAACATCTGAGTTTCATATTGCACACCTACTTCAAGTAAGCAAAAAAAGTATTTGTATACGTACGTATACAGGTTGGTGTGTTCTTGCTCCATGTACTATTTGCTTGACATACAGCGTTGGTATTCCCTGTGAATCCTGTATCACACACCCATCTAACAATGTCATCATATTGGAAAGGACCTCGTCTCCAGAGACGCCGTCCTTGCCGTTCTACATAATACTGTCCAGATGTTGGTGTTACTGGAGTGGGACATTGGCGGGCTGCAATCAAAGAAAAGATCAAATTACAGTTCATTGCGTTCAGGTCACATGGATCTGCTCTCCTTTGTTCTCCTTTGACTACCATAGCTGCGATGTACAAATTCTTTTTCCTTTGATCTAGCTTCGTATCATAGCATCATTGAGTCTAATGCCTGCGAAACACTTCCATCATGAAAAACTCCACCGTTGGCCGGGGGGGGGGGGGGGGGAGGGGGGGGGGGCATCGACTTGTACACTCTTGGTTATGTACTCTTGATAACAGCACTTACGTTGGCATGTAGGTTTGGGTTGAGACCATTGTCCAGTTCCTACACATGTCACTGTGAGTGTACCACTTGGTATGTTCTCCATCTTATAACCTGTGTTACAAGTGTATCTTCTATTCTTTCCATAATCAAATCCGTTAGTTGTAGCCTTGCCATTTTCAGGTCGACCAGGATTTCTACATATTATCCCTGTTTGAAACACATGTTGTAGAATAACCCCACAGCAGTGTTAAAATATTGTGATGAACAAAACAGGACAATAATCTATAACATAATTATGTGAGCGCGTGTGGGTGGGTGTTTATGTGTGTGTGCGATGTTTATTGTCTGTGTTAAAGTAAGTGTGTGCACATGTGTGTGTGTGTGTGTGTGTGTGTGTGTGTGTGTGTGTGTATGTGTGTGTGTGTGCATGTGTGTGCACTAATGTGTGTGCAGGTGCATGTGTGTGTGTGTGTGTGGGGGGGGGTGGGTGGGTGTGTGTGTCTTTGTGCAACAGTGCCGGATCACCTAGTCATGGCTATCCGGGTTTTATTAAGCAGGGTACCCACCCTCACATCCCTAAGGACTCTTTTGTAGGTATGCACGTGTTTGTGTGTGTGTTTGTGTGTGAGAGAAAGAGAGAGAGTGTGTGCTCATGCATGTGTTCACATGTGTGTATGCCGGATTCCTGCTGCTGTGTACATGCCAATGTATGTGTGTCTGCTCCTAAACTTTCCTTCCCATTTTGCACGCTGTGTGACTGTGCCGTTACCCATACTTTCTCATTTGCTCTGTAGTGCTTCTATTCATTTTGTTTTCATTTAGTATTTTTCTGTTTGGCGTGCATGAGCAGTGTGGATGCCGAGACCCTTAGTCGGTTTAGCTGCTGTTGCTCCGCCTCCACTGCTCCGGCTGCCATCGCTATGTGCATCCATCTGTGCTTTTTTTGGCCGTTGTTTGCACCATGATTATTTGTGGCTTTCTGGTAATATACAAAAAAAACATACTTTGGCAGCCTGGGCGGTTGTTACTCCATCTTTCATTAGCCTGACACACAGCAGTAGTAGGTTGAGTAGTAGAATAGCCGATATAACATGTCCATGTGACAGTGTCGTTGTACAGGTAGGGTGTCAGACTGGCACGCTGTACTCCCATTTGAACAGAGAAGGCACCAAATGTAGGACTGCCTGGATCAGGACACGCCCGGGCTGTTCAACAGAGAAGCACAGAGAAACACGCAGTGCATTAAAAACTGCATCCAGGTTGCTGCGCCGTTCTGAGGAAGTGCTGTGTCTGTATGTATGGGGGGGGGGAGTCTTTTGAAAACAGGATTATGGCGGAAAAATGTTATTCAATACCCGAAAACAAATGCCGACATCATATTATGGGTTGTGTGCATTAAAAAAAGTGCAAGTTGATATGTACTGATCATAGGTATGCCTCTGTTAAAGATTAGCACCTCTACTTAACAAACAATCCCGTACCAGGACTGGGCTACATATCTGAAACGCTGCGGGATGGAAAACCCACCAACCTGAACCTGATAGAAAATTATTTCGTACTTACGCAAACAAGTGGGTTTATCATGAGACCACCTTGTGTCGAATAAACATCGTGTAGTAACAACACCACTTGTAGAACCCTCCATGTAGAAGCCTTTATGACATCGATATGTTACTGTACTACCAAATTGTTGACCTGTCGATGTGCTATCTCCATTGACAAGCCGTCCTTGGTCTTGGCAACTTATACCTGTTCACCAATATTTATTGTAAAAGAAAAAGAGAGATGGAGAGAGAGAAAGAAAAAGATAGATAGATAGATATATAGATAGTGGTTGAGCACTCTCATGTGGGGTAGTGCCTTTGCTGTTTGCATTACGCAGAGCTCACTGACTTGTCAGTTTGAGCACTCTGGCAAGGTACGTTCGGGCCTGATTAGAAATTTTTATTTCCATTGCTATCAGGTTCGGCCTCATTTCCTCTGTGCTGCGCTGATGAGTTCACAAAGAACGAAACAGCATGCTGTCCGCAGATTGAGTATTTTCGCTCCTGCTCTTGTAGTGGTCGAGCACTCTCATGTGGGGTAGTGCCTTTGCTGTTTGCATTACGCAGAGCTCACTGGCTTGTCAGTTTGAGCACTCTGGCAAGGTACGTTCGGGCCTGATTGGAAATTTATATTTTCATTGCTATCAGGTTCGGCCTCATTTCCTCTGTGCTGCGCTGATGAGTTCACAAAGAGCGAAACAGCATACTGTCCGCAGATTGAGTAGATAGATAGATAGATACACAAGATGTTTGTTAGATGTTTGTTTGATAGATAGAAAGATAGATACACAAGTCATCAAGCGATGGATAGCCGAGAAATTCGTTGTTACTCCGAGTCTCGTGCGAAAGCACTCATCAGACAACTTCATACTTTGTCATCCCTTTTCCTCGCGCTATTGAAATGTACCTCCATCACCTCTGCCTTCTCTCCGTATATATTCTAGTGATTGTTAGTCTTGGTCATATGCCGTCTGATGAAGTGTTTTGACACGAAACTCGGAGTAACAGCGGAAAGAGACTCGTTTGATTCATTGCTGTGTAATATTTGTAGATGGATAGATAGATAGATAGATGGATAGATACACAAGGCAGAACAACAGAGACCAAAAGCTTTCTCGTAACTCGGAGTTTCGTGTTGAAAAACACTCATCAGACGATAAAACATGATGTGCTATTCGCTGGTTATACATTGTACTACATGTTTTTTGTTTTGTTTTTTTTTTCTACAAAATCCACATATCTCCAGACACTGGGGTGAATGATGGAGTGTGGTGGTGGGGCCCATTAAGCTCCGCCGACCAGAGGTCTCGGCTTCATAGCTCCATGGACGCACCATGTACATGATGTATAGGGTAATTGTAATGTAGGCTAAGGCAGTGCTAAGGCAGTGCTATAACCACAATAGAAGATAACACCAGTGCTGGAATATACTGTGACTAATATTAGCTTATCAGCGTAGTTACTTCAAAATAGTTTTATCAGCTCAAGACAATCTTTTGTGGCGTCAGGGGGGGGGGTGGGGGGGGGGGGGTGATTGTCCTCGTCTTCTGGGATGCTGGCGTTGCTAAGCGGTACTGCTCCAGGAACTCTCCTAAGGTGAGGCAATGTTGGCTTGATGGAGTTTTGTCAGAGTCATGGCTTGTTCGTGTACACTGTGACGTGACTCGTTTGTAGAACCATAAATGGCCCAGTATCTGCAAAAATGGACCTTAGGGTGATTTTTCACAAAATGACTTTTTCTGCTGTTGTCATCTATAGGTATCTAGTGATCACATGGCAAAGTATTAGACCGAACAAAGCAATATTTGATGACCCAGAAGCTTCTCAAACAAGCATAGGTACATATCAGGAAATACAACAATTTATCACAGTGTTTTCCACATCGGAATACTCATAGCCAGCAATCGCATGTCATCATGTTCATTGAAATTCAACATAATTTTATGAATCGACCTTTTTTTCATGATCACTTTTCAACGAGGACGAAGCAAAGTCGGCCGAACGAAGCCTAGGGTAAGAAAATTACCCTCTCCACTTCACCATCACGATACTGGCATAGATACGAGACAAAACAACTAAAAAATCCACAAGAAAACTGTACGGCCATCTTCGCGCTGACTTTGGTCTGAGAATTTCTATCACGATCAAAAATCTACGAGGAGCGCTCAAGAATAAGCTACAGACGTACCTTTATTGTTCTCTACTCCTTTTTAGGGTTTATCGGGTGTTAGCGGCCGTCGTGAGTTCCCTTCGGGAACGTGAGTTCCCTTTGGGAACGGATACGATAATTTACTTTTTCTTTTTTTTTACTCCTTTTTCAAGGCACAAAAGTCGACTCTCCACTTTCAAACCAGGAACCAGACATACCAGTGGTCCTTTTCAGCTGCTCCACGAGTGCAGGAAATGTTCACCAAGGGTTGCAGAGCAGCATCCATTCCAGAAAAAGAGCTAAAATACGAGTGAGACTACATGCTTGAGTACATGAGCACACGCATGAGTACATGCTGAAAATATTCAGTTTCAGCGTTTCTGCTCCAAACAGCAATTAGCTTCGATTAGCTACAAAGATTACACCAGAGGATCAAACAACAACCATTTTTCCAGTTTTTTTGGCAGATGGCTTCCTTGTGCTTGGCCCAGCATGCCAAAAATTACAACTCTCAGATGTCCTCGATTGCTGGCCATGATGTGTTACAAAAGTCAGTGTAATAAATCATTCATCCAGTTTTGTTGTAAAACAACTCCTGAGTCTTGGGCAACCTCTGGCATAGAGCATGGATGGCCTTGATCCTCATCACTGCATACCAATGAAAACTGTTTGAACGCCATCCCAAGTCCCCTGAAAATCCACATAAGTGCATGTAGTAGACGGATTTTTTACCGTATCATACCGCATGTACCGTATATCGATAGACTTACCATATCGTATATAGTACGTTATTTTGTGTACGTCCTGTGTGCGTTATGTTGGTGCATGCGCGTGTTGCTGTGGTCTGAAAAGCAGTCTTCGTCTTGAGTTCATCATGTCTTCGTCTTGAGTTCATCATGTTTTCGTCTTGAGTTCGTCATGTCTAGTTGTGTTTCGTCGTCGTGTCAATAAACAGTCTTCTAAGTGTAGTTATCGTCGTCCCTTTGTATAAGTGTGGAGATGGCACGGGACTGGGAGCAGGTGGAGAAAAGGCAGTTACTACAGTGCAGAACAGGAGGGGGGGGGGGTGGCTACAACTACACCTGGAGTCCCAGTCTGTGAATCCCACAGGGAATGCGACACAGGCACAACATTCTAACACCCCAGGCTTCATCTCATACACAATTTGGAGGTAGTCTCGGCATCACTGCTGCACCTCTGTGAAATTTGAGCTCTGTGGGAAACTTGCTGCATGCGCGTCAGTGCGCCATGATTCCAGCACTGAGCGCAGAGAGTTCGTAGCTCATCAATCATGTTCAGCTCTTGCCCCGTCCAAGGGGTTTGGTGTTCACCACGGAGTCCAGTGTGGGAGACTGGAAAAATTCAGATCATGTCACTAGCGGCAGCGCTCTTTCGTCCTGACTCGAGTTGATCCAGCCATTTCAATTTGTCTACCTCTGTTGCCGGCGCCTCACTAGTTTCTCCTCGTTCAGTATTTCCCCTGAGCGGAGCTGTACTAAATTCAGAAGGGCCCTACGAGGATTATCAGATGTCAGAAAGTACTTTTGCCAGCAGAGAGCTCCTTTGGCGGAGCGCCTAAATCAAGTTGAAATTCTCGTCGCTAAATAGGAATTGCGCGTCGACAAAAACATCTTCTGTAAACTGTCGTAGTTCTCTATCAGACGCGACGATTCCTGCCTAGGAAATAAAATGGCTTCTGGCAGAGCCGGACGACAGCTAGCTGGCCATCGTGAGCGAACTCTCCTACTACTAGGACGATCAAAAGCATCCATTGTTGCGATGAACTAATTTTTTGTTTGCATGTGCAGAGCGCGAAGCAAGAGTTTTTTGCCGTTGCAGAAATGACTCATTCTGCAAAAATGATTTTCACCCGAAGGTCGATTCTCGCTGATACTGGGCCAAATGATGTGATTTTTCGGCCATTTTTCGGGGTATGCGAGTTTCTAGGTTCCCTTCAGAAACGTTTTCAAGAGCTTTGCACAGTCGATCTACACCCCAATGGGAACCTATCTGCAAATTTTGAGCAAAATCGGAGAGATTGACTTAGCCTAATACTTTGGTATTCTCAGACATGCCCTCTTTTAAATTCTCGTGCAGTAGCTGTCTAGTACACAAGAACGTTCTGGGCCATCTTGCGCTACTGTTGCAATCCTAGCTGATTTGTTGTTGTGGACCTGTTTATCTTTCTTGTCATGTGCTGTTGTTCAGCAAGTGATGCTTCATTGCGGCTTCATTTGAGTTTCCACTAGAGCAGAGATTTTCCCATGACGTCTCAACACTGACAGGCATATTGAGACATTCAACAACCCTACTCTAACACATCTACGAAGCGCAAACCCACAATCTTCCAATTTGGAAGGCTCAGTTGCAGAAAGTTCCAATGAAGGGAAGGGATTCGCCACGAAAGTGCCAGGTTGTTGAATGCCTCAATATCCTTTTCAGTTTTGTGCCTTGTTGTCGCACTATCTGACTGTAGAATATCTCGTTACATTGGTGAACTGTTAGTCATAACTTGCAACTTATTGGTCCTTTCTCTCTTTACTGAAATACAGTGGAGATTGGATATAACGACACTCCTTCGGGAGAGAACAAAATGTCACTATTCGACCGGTCACTAAACCCGATCTTCACAAAGGACTTACTAAACGACTAGGGCAACAGAATTGCGTCGCTAAACTCAATCTGTCGTTATAGTTATACAAAGTCGTTATATCCGATCTCCACTGTATTGAAAAAGGTAAAATGTTGCAGGTAAGTATGAAACTGCTGTAAATAATTATTATGATTAGAAACAAAGGCCAAACTGGTAGTGGGTTCCAATCAGAGTCCCGAAAGTACGTACGTGTACAGGTTGGTGTGTTCTTGCTCCATCTACCATCTGCCTGGCATACAGCACGGGTACTTCCTGTGAATCCTTTATTGCAAAACCATAAAACAGTGTCACCATATTGGAAAGGTCTCGAGACATATTGCCCTTGCCGTGCTACACGATATTGTCCGGAGTCAGGTTTTCCTGGAGTGGGACATTGTCGGGCTGTAAGCAAAGAACACAGTAGAATACTTCTTCAAATAGCAACATGTTGATATCATTCACCAGTATGCATGTAAAAAATATTCCTATCATCTCTCTAACCCTATGTCTTTATCACATTCTCCTACTTACGATCACACAAAACGTAGGTCTGCAGCTGCACCACCTTTAATATGTTTTTGAAACTGATCCCTAGATACTCCTCCCTGCTCCAGGCCTCTGTCCTGGAAGCAATGCTTATGAGCTTAACCTCCCTAATATTGGCATGATACATGTGAAGAGTTTAGATGCAAAAGTGACATACAATGGATCCATTTTACCTTTTTTGGAAATGGCCAAACAAGTTTTCCTTTTATGTGCGGTTTGTATCCAAATCCATAGTAGTTTGGGTATTAAACAGTGAAACCTGTCTAAGGTGACTGCTCAAGGAACCCCCTTAATGTGGTCTTTGTATAGAGGTGGTATCCTTATCCTGGTTCAGTTGCCTGGAGATAACTTCCATTGGTCCCAGATTCATTGGTCCTCAGGAACAACTGGTCGCCTTGACCAGTTATACTGCATTTGAAGTGGCTCTAGTGAGATTTTGGATGCACATTTTGCCTGTGTATGCCCAAGAACTTCCTGGCAGATCTTGTGCGACTGTCGCAGTCCTTGCTCATTTGTTGTTGTAAACCAGGTCTCCTTTTTGTCATGTTGCGCTCAGTTGTTCAGCAAGTGGCGCTTTGTGGCGGCTTCATTGAAGGTTTGCTAGGGCAGTTACTACAGCCATTTTGTTTCAGTGCTGGTAGCTTAGAAAAAAGGCAAGTGGCTGCGCTCCGCGTGTGCTTTCCTGCCGCGAGGTTGGATTCCGCGAGAGTATGGCCATTGGAGAGTTCAAAATTTTAACATTTCCCCAAATGATACGTATGTACACTGTATATCATGTACACATTCACATGTCTGAAGGTTTGTGGTTTTTCAATAAAAAATAAATAAAAAAAGAAAGATTTTTGGACAGTTTGTTCAAGACTTCTTGTTGGCTGTGTTGTTGCAGACTATGGTGGCAGTTTACCTCAAATATTAGGAGGTAACCTTGCTGCGACTGGCCATGTAGATGGTCTACGCAATGGCTTTCTTAGGACAATTTTTTAGATGGACTCAGCAAGTTGCTGGTCACCAGTTGCATGGCTTACATTACATTACATGGTAAAATCGATCGGAGTGCGAACAAACCGTATTTCCCCGTAAGTTAGTACGTACTAACTTTCGAACTTAGCAGCCACATGAGTACTAACTCTCGGGGGTGGTACTATCTTTCGGGGAGTACTTTTTTATCGGGGGTAAATGACACGCAGTGGGAAGCCTGCGCAACTCTAGTGTCCGTGCATATGATGTATGTACTGTACGGTGTCTGTACATGTAGGACGGGTACGAACTTACTATCTTTCGGGGGGAACTGTCTTTCGGGGTGATAACCTCGGCAGTGGAAAGTGTATTTTTTATAGGGGGTACTAAGTCATAGGGGAGAACTAACTTACGGGGAAATACGGTAGTTGTTTTGGATACGATGTTTTTGTTGTGAGAAGCCGCGTGATCCCTCATTCTTGTGCCTAATTTCAAAGCATATTTTAGTCCACTTTTGTACCTTCGCGCGAGCTCCGACATTCGCGCGAATGGATTCGTTCCACAGGACCCAGCTAAGGAGCATCATCGACATGCGGTACCCTAAACGAATTAGCAATGACACTCTGTATAAGCGCTGCGGAGCTGTCCCCATCAGCGAGATGATCACAAGGCAGCGCTACAGTCTCGCTGGCCATATCTTTCATTTGGCCCCAACTGCTCCTCCACAGTTGGCAGTGGATATGTATCTTCGCTTGGCCAATGACGAGGGCACTGAACGCTTCAGGGGTCGACCTCGGACGACTTTGGTAACGATCTTGCAGACGGAACTGTCATCATGGCATGGACTTACCCTCCACCAGCCGCTAGATGCTGACGCAGTCCGCACAATGGCAGCGGACAGACAGGCATGGTGTGGAGCCCGCCCCACCTAACAGGACTGATTCTCGTGATCCACTTGATTCCGCCAGACATGTTGTATGCATATTCTATTTTATTTTATACTTTGCATGAAGTTTTCCCTTAGTCCTATTGGTATTGTCGGCTTTTGTTGACATCACTTCTGTCATTTCATTGTATCGTATTACTCTTCAGACATCAATCCTGAGTGGCATAAGCAAAAGTGGCACCCCGCTACCTACGCGGACATGCTTTTAACAATTTGTACCTTGCCCATCTCCGGAACCGAGAGGGTGTCTAGACGAAACTGTTGCAGCGGGGCAATGAGGACCACCCAGGGATGAAAGGAGCCAACTTTGAGTTAAAAAAAATGTGCATTGTAACAGTGGCCTTACAGTGGACAGCTCCAATATTTGCACTTTTGTGTTTTGGTTTCTTCACATTTGGACAGTTTGGGTAATTCCTTTATGTGTTTGAGGTTACAATATTTTCTCTATTTTCCGACCCCTGCTGTACTGCTTCCGCTGGCATTTCCCTTGGCTGACCCAATGTATGCTCATCATTTCACTCACATAGCAACCGGGTTGTACATGGGGTAGTGGTCTACCAGAATGTACTCACGATGGGGGTAGTGGTCTACCAGAATGTACTCACAGAATGTACTCAGTATACCGTCACACCACACTCACAGCCACACGCTAGCCAAAAACTAGGCCAGAAGTAATGAAGAGTAAGGCCGCGGCCGGCAAGAGATACAAGTATGTCAGTGCAAGACACGAGCAGAGCAATGTCCTGGTGTAGGTGACTGGCCAGTGGGGGAGCGCCTGGAAATCCGACTCCCTAAATTTCCAGCCACGACCACTCAACAGGGCTGGGGGAAAAACTCGCCTTGCGGCCAAAAAACCCTTCTACTAATATGGGACCTGCCCCACTGCCAGTCACACCCAAAAGAAAAACCGAAGAGAAACAAGCAGAAAGGAGTAACCATACAACCAAAAAACACCGAGACCCTCGGGACAGAAACACACAAAACAAAGCATGCCATGGAAAACCAGTAAAACAGCACCCAATGGAAGCCCAAAAACGTACGGGACCCAAGGGAGGGAGGGTGGGAAAACTCCACGCTCTACGAGGATGACAAGACCACGATGGCAGGTGGGGGAGAGTTGCGCAGTGGAAGAGCAGCAGAGCACGACAGAAAAATGGTGAGTGAAAAATACGTTTTTTACACTCTTTCGCTACGCTCAGCCGTGAAAAAACAACACATTTATCTTTAAACCAATACATGTAAAAGAGAAAAGGACATATGGATACGAGTTTAGAGTAACTCTCCATCACTGTAACATGATACTATATACAGTCAGAAAGTGCAATAACTAGGCACAAAACTGACAGAGTACTGAGACATTCGACGTCCTGACACCTAACTTTAACACATCTCCGTAGCGCTAACCGACAGCCTTCCAACTTGGAAGGTTCAAGGTTATGGAAAGACCAAAGAGGGGAAGGCAAGCGCAAGGAAAACGAGCAAAAGCTACAGTCCCAACGGAACAAAGAATGTCGATTGTCACTGGACGATGACGAGACCAGTACGATATTTGACAAAGCGGTCTAACTACAATTCGAAGCAGCAAAGCAGCACACCACCCAACTTGGGTGGGTCGTAAATATCAAAGATAAGTAAAGAAAGGGAAGCTTTGCGAAAACGAATTGTACAAGCCGAAAGCCAAACTCCTACAGTACTCCTCATGCATGACATTGTGATGGACTAGTTGACTACAAAACAAGTTGTTTCACACGACGTACGTTTCGCCGTATGGTTCGTGACGGCTCATCAGGTGTGCAATTTGAAACTCGGATGTTGAGCCATAAATAAATGTAAAAGAGAAAAGGACATATGGATACGAGTTTAGAGTAACTCTCCATCACTGTAACATGATACTATATACAGTCAGAAAGTGCAATAACTAGGCACAAAACTGACAGAGTACTGAGACATTCGACGTCCTGACACCTAACTTTAACACATCTCCGTAGCGCTAACCGACAGCCTTTCAACTTGGAAGGTTCAAGGTTATGGAAAGACCAAAGAGGGGAAGGCAAGCGCAAGGAAAACGAGCAAAAGCTACAGTCCCAACGGAACAAAGAATGTCGATTGTCACTGGACGATGACGAGACCAGTACGATATTTGACAAAGCGGTCTAACTACAATTCGAAGCAGCAAAGCAGCACACCACCCAACTTGGGTGGGTCGTAAATATCAAAGATAAGTAAAGAAAGGGAAGCTTTGCGAAAACGAATTGTACAAGCCGAAAGCCAAACTCCTACAGTACTCCTCATGCATGACATTGTGATGGACTAGTTGACTACAAAACAAGTTGTTTCACACGACGTACGTTTCGCCGTATGGTTCGTGACGGCTCATCAGGTGTGCAATTTGAAACTCGGATGTTGAGCCATAAATAAATGTAAAAGAGAAAAGGACATATGGATACGAGTTTAGAGTAACTCTCCATCACTGTAACATGATACTATATACAGTCAGAAAGTGCAATAACTAGGCACAAAACTGACAGAGTACTGAGACATTCGACGTCCTGACACCTAACTTTAACACATCTCCGTAGCGTTAACCGACAGCCTTCCAACTTGGAAGGTTCAAGGTTATGGAAAGACCTAAGAGGGGAAGGCAAGCGCAACGAAAACGAGCAAAAGCTACAGTCCCAACGGAACAAAGAATGTCGATTGTCACTGGACGATGACGAGACCAGTATTTGACAAAGCGGTCTAACTACAATTCGAAGCAGCAAAGCAGCACACCACCCAACTTGGGTGGGTCGTAAATATCAAAGATAAGTAAAGAAAGGGAAGCTTTGCGAAAACGAATTGTACAAGCCGAAAGCCAAACTCCTACAGAACTCCTCATGCATGACATTGTGATGGACTAGTTGACTACAAAACAAGTTGTTTCACACGACGTACGTTTCGCCTTCCCCTCTTTGGTCTTTCCATAACCTTGAACCTTCCAAGTTGGAAGGCTGTCGGTTAGCGCTACGGAGATGTGTTAAAGTTAGGTGTCAGGACGTCGAATGTCTCAGTACTCTGTCAGTTTTGTGCCTAGTTATTGCACTTTCTGACTGTATATAGTATCATGTTACAGTGATGGAGAGTTACTCTAAACTCGTATCCATATGTCCTTTTCTCTTTTACATTTATTTATGGCTCAACATCCGAGTTTCAAATTGCACACCTGATGAGCCGTCACGAACCATACGGCGAAACGTACGTCGTGTGAAACAACTTGTTTTGTAGTCAACTAGTCCATCACAATGTCATGCATGAGGAGTACTGTAGGAGTTTGGCTTTCGGCTTGTACAATTCGTTTTCGCAAAGCTTCCCTTTCTTTACTTATCTTTGATATTTACGACCCACCCAAGTTGGGTGGTGTGCTGCTTTGCTGCTTCGAATTGTAGTTAGACCGCTTTGTCAAATATCGTACTGGTCTCGTCATCGTCCAGTGACAATCGACATTCTTTGTTCCGTTGGGACTGTAGCTTTTGCTCGTTTTCCTTGCGCTTGCCTTCCCCTCTTTGGTCTTTCCATAACCTTGAACCTTCCAAGTTGGAAGGCTGTCGGTTAGCGCTACGGAGATGTGTTAAAGTTAGGTGTCAGGACGTCGAATGTCTCAGTACTCTGTCAGTTTTGTGCCTAGTTATTGCACTTTCTGACTGTATATAGTATCATGTTACAGTGATGGAGAGTTACTCTAAACTCGTATCCATATGTCCTTTTCTCTTTTACATTTATTTATGGCTCAACATCCGAGTTTCAAACCAATACAACTAAGATTTAAATGTGCAGTTATTAATGCTGGCTAGCAGGTGATATAACAGGTGCTCACACTCATCCCAGACTCTGCATATTACTTCACCGTTCACGCACGCACACATACTAACCTGCACGCGTGCATGCAGACATACATCTGCATATGCTCATTCTCATGAGCGCGGCTGCACCCTTTGTTTCAAGTATGTCCTTGATGGGGGGAAGTTTTCCCCGCCATCCCTCACATGTCTTCCGGGTCCTTCTGTGTGCATTGCATAATATTTATCACTATATCAGTAAAGCTGAACTCGGATGGCGAGCCAATATAATTATGATGAAGAAAGGAAAAAGACAAAATGTTACGAGTTATGACAAACTGTCCATCAACGTAACCAGATCTTATACCGTCAGCGAGTGCGACAACTTTCGGCATTCTTTGTTGCCGTGGCGCGTAGCTCATGCTCTTCTTCATTGCGCTTTCCCTCCCCTCTTGGACCATTCCGAACCTGAGCCTTCCAAGTTGGAAGGTTGTTGGCTTGCGCCTTGGAGAAGTGTTGGAGCTAGGTGTCAGGTCGCCGAATGTCTCAGTACTCCTTGTCAGTTTCGTGCCAGTTTGTCGCACTCGCTGACGGTATAAGATCTGGTTAAGTTGGTGGACAGTTTGTCATAACTCGTAACATTTTGTCTTTTTCCTTTCACCATCATAATTATATCAGTAGCACAAAGTTTCCCAGCAGGTCCTGGGACTGCAGTTTTGCGCTCCCTGGTACACTGAGTCTGAAGTTTAGATCTAGGGGATTCTAGACTTTTACCACAGCATGTGTTTATGTGATACTGTATGATGTCAAACGTACATGGACATGATCCATACAGTTCCCCATTTAAGCCCTGCGCTTATATTGGAGCGGCTGCGTTAGTATACGTCAGGCGAAATATCACGTCATAGTACATTTGAGACCAGCGGGAAGAAGATGACGACGTCCACTAATTTAGTATCTGTGCACACAAATATGCTGTGTGTGTGACTTTGTGTGTCAGCTATGATGTCAAACTCTGTGGTTCCATGCCTAGCATGTAGGTCAGAACCATCCTGCAAAGTTTGAATGATGTAGGTCGCGCCGCCAACCATACATTTTGAAATTATCTTCGTAGTATACCTTCCACCATAGAAATTTCAAATTTTTTGCTGAGAGGGTAGCAACCTCGATATGGCTTGTTCCAGGCATGCTGTGAAGCGAAACCCTGTTGAAGTAGTGGCGGGGATCTGCCCTGCAACTGCTACAACAAAAATGATTCGATCTGAGAAAGCGTGAGACCGCGAATCTCGGTTGAATGTTGAGTATTTCAATCCTTTTCACGACGAAGATGGAGTTCTCATGATTTGGAGATGGACGTCGAGACAAAGGACATGGTTTCCGACTTCTGGCGTCTGGTGAAGCCAGGGATCATTAATTTTTGTCCAGTCAGGTCGGCAGCCTAGCCATCGGTAAGCTTGTGTTTGGATCCCGTTCTGCTCGATGTGGTACATCACAAACAATTTGATATCGCACAAAATGATCTCTGCATCGTGCCTACGGTATTTTATATTCAGAAAATCACAAGGTGTCTCTGTGTGGCCGTCCTATGCCACGAGAAACCCGAATCAGGCTCCTATGTCCTCTGCCTTCTTGATTGAATGTCCACTTTTTTGAACAACGAACACAACAATCGATGACGGCTTTGCAGTGAAAAATACAGCTATACTGGAGCTGAAAAAGGAAGAAAAAACGTGCTCAGAATGAGACTCGAGTACACGCGTACTGTCCCAGCAGGTTCTGTGGTCCTGTGGATGTCGCTCATAGCTATATAGATGCGTAATTTCGCGTGACGCCTTCGCGGCCCTCTTGGAGTGCGCTAAAATAGAGACTGGGCTTCTACAAGAGACTGAGCTTGTAATAGGGCTTGAAAGTGATGACATCAAAAACGGCCAGGGAGTAGTAAGTTGACATTAGATTTCTATTTCGGATCCACTAAGGTGTGACTTTGCTATTGCCTCAGTATGTGGGTGCATATCAACCCACTCATGTCGTATGCAGGGGTGACTTTTACTTCGCCACCAGTTGTAACCCCGCCCCCAGTAGCCAAATCAATCAGTTTCACTGGCTACATCACCTTGCTGTGAGTAAGACGGCTTGAAATGTGCTTGGATCCATACAAAAACTGGATCCAAGTGGATCAAGTTTTTGAATTTTTGAAATTATTGCTATGCTGTGACGTAGCACTTTCAAGCCCTATAGAGATGATACGGTATGTATGTACAGTGTACAGTGTACAGTGTATGAATGTGTGTATACCAGGGTTCTAGCCAGGTCAATATAGTAGGGGGGGGGGGGCATGGAAAAAAGTTACCCCGTGACCCATTTTTTCCATTGTCCAAAATTGTCTTGCCATGCAAAATGCAACATACAGGGTGAACACCGACTTCACCCCTCACAAATGTGCCTTTATGAACCCTCTAGTAGTGACTATCGACTGTATTTTCGTTGAATGGAGTGAAAAAACACAAAGTCGGAAAATGAGTAGGGGGGCGGCACTTTTTCACAGGGGGCGCGCAAACGAAGTAGGGGGCGCTGCGCCCCCCTACCCTGCTTTGGCTAAAACCCTGGTGTATACCATACTGATAACACTTACGTTGGCATGTAGGCTTGGCTTGAGACCATTGTCCAGTTCCTATACATGTAACTGTGAGTGTACCTTGTGGCATCTCATAACCTGTTTTACAAGTGTATCTTACAGTCTTTCCAAACTCAAATCCGTTGTGTGTATATCCACCATTAGTAGGTTGACCAGGATCTTCACAAATTATCCCTGTTAGAACAACAAAACAATTCCATACTGTTGTTATGAGAAGCTTTATCAGACATGGTCATCAGCGCATGGGTGACACTGACTCACGCTACTGCCTGGAGTTTGTGTTCTCTCGCACACCTCACATTGGAAACAGCAACAACCACAGAGCAGGGTCGGCTGCGGACAGCCACATTGCCTTGTTTCAAGGGAAAAACAGGGTTGCCAGAATTAAGGCAAACGATACAACAACTGCAGAATGACCACCCAAATAAAAAAATAAGCAACTTGAACTAATAAAATCAGCAGTGCAGAAAGATACAGCAAAGAAACCACCACATTCAGAGCAAAATAAATACATAGGGCGGTCGGGTGGGCCCTTGACAAGCAAGACAAAAAGAAGGACAATCTTTTTGCGCAAGCGCTGTTCCATGGCGCTCGCTCAACAATGATTACTTCACTACAGTGACGTCTACCTGCACTGCGTGCAATGACAAAATTAAATTACACATAAAACCAGCATCGCAAGTATTCGAAGTTCGGGAGAACAGTGCTTCTCGTTCGAATACTCAGCGTCTACACAAGCGTAGACTTCTCTCTCACACCTCACATTTGCTACAGCAAAACCACAGTGCAGGATCGGCTGCGGACAGCCACATTGCAAGACAACAAAGCATAGCCGAGCATGTATAGGACATTACAAGACGAATCAGCATGGATGCCAGGCAACTAGGAAAGATATACATATATACATTATGATCATAATTATGTCCACTGTTCACATGACCACCTGCCCAATGGCACTTGAGACTCTTAGGAGGTTAGGCTTGGACTCCGAGAAATATGACTTCAAACCGGACTCACTCCTCCATCCTCCGTGGCGATGAATTAGACGGTCTGGGATACCTGCAGCAGCCGCCACGGAGACACCCCCGGAACGGAGGCTATGTACACATACTTGTCAGGATCCTCTCCAACTGCCGCCATGGCCGCCAGTACTAAATCCCTTGCTCTGGAGTATGACGTTTGGGACCGAATAACCTTCCGCCCATGGTGGGTTCGGACTCTGCCAAACAATGTCGAGTTTGGTGAGTGACATACTTGCCAACCCTACCGGAATTTCCGGGAAAATCAAGGAAAAATCGCTTCCGTCCCGGTATACCGGAAAAGTTATAACATCAACCGGATTTTCGAAAATGTCCGTCAACACCTTTTTTTGTTGATTTTCAGTGTTTTGGACGCTCGCTCGCAGTGCTGTACCCAAAACGAAGGTGTAGCGGGCGAGAACGTTTGAGTAAGCGCATGGAAAAGCACTTTTTGTCGTACATGTTGTACTATTTACGAATGTTTTGTGGTCATGGTGACGCCACAATGATGTCATAAACAATATTTTGCACAATTATGATGTAAAAATTGCAGATCAAGGAAAAATGGGCAAAAGCAAGGAAACACGTCATGCTGTGTCAAGGAAACTGTTTTGCCAGGGGTTGGCAAGTATGGAGTGATCACCGCTGGCGAGAAACTGTTCAACTAGTTGTACTGGTTAGAGGTGTTGTTCCCAACGGCTGATGAACACCCAGTTACCTTCCCGGAACTGGTCGTTCTTTCTGCATTCCCGGAAAACTGCCATACAGTCTCGATGAATGGACAGGGCATCTACTCGGACATGAGAAAGATCATCCCCGCGGAGGAACCCAGCAAACCCTAATGTAATGAGTGCAGTGCTGCCAAAAAATCCGATTTTTCGGAAAGTGTCCAATTTTTGAAGGCTCTTCCGAAAACCGGTCCGAAAAGGATACGTCCGAAAAGCAGCCAAAATTGTCAGGGATCAGTACTTTCCTCTGCAGAAGTCCTGTATTTTCACTTTCGAGCACAACTAAAGGCACAAATCACAGTACATATGCTTCTAAAAAGGCTAGCGTTGGCCTGGGGAAGTGCAAAGTAGTAACACTACTAGTACCGTAAAGTACCGCCAGAGTGCCCCGTCTCGCGGTACTTTTGATTTTACAGCCTGAGAAAGGAAAACCGTATGGCAGAGTGCAACGAAGTTTGTACGATGTGAGAGTCTTAGTGTACTAAGGTCACGCTTGGCAGGGTTTTGTGTGGAGCTTGTGTCCGCTCGAAGGTACGGATTGACTACAAAACGTGCAATATGTGTACAAGGTTCATGTCGTATGACCTACAGACAGCAGACCACCTCCACAATACGACCACGAAAGGATGAGATGGTGGGGCGCTCTGGCGGTACTTTACGGTACATGCACGAGAATGCTGGCAATAGGGAGGTTTAGTCCCACGTATCCGTGGGTACTTTACGTGTGTGTTCCACGTGACAATCAGTGACCCACGTACAGACGTTTTCTGATTCACGACATACCGTGTATGGAGGCTCACCCACGTTCCGCCAGAACGTGGGTGAAAATCAGAATAGAGCGCATTGAGCGAGCTGTGAGGGTGCTCAGCTGAAGATGTTTCCGAAGCACGAAATCAAAATATTCGATGAGCTTCTTAGGCCCGGTTAGCTTCCTCTTTGACCAGGTTTGGGCCTTTCGCTTCATGCTTTTGTTTGTTCCGTGTGACTAACACAACATTGCAACGTAGGTGCCCTTCATCCACTTTACTTGTATCACCCACGTACGCGTTTCTGTTACGTGGGAACTAAACCTCCCTAGTGAATACAGTACACTCATGTATTACAAAATTCATGACAACGGGGCGCCATATCGGGTACCATGGCAACAAAGCGAATTTTCTTCGTATTTTGGGCAATATTTTGAATTTCTGGAAAAATCGCAGAGAAGAATTTGCGCCATGTGGCCAGCCTTCGTGGTAAAGGGTGTCAGATTTTGGGCGAATATTATTTTTGGCAGGACTGTGAGTGTCAAGGTTTTGGAGATCCTGCAATTTTCCAGTAGACAGTGAGACCTTCAGCTTCTTGAGCAGTTTCGGTGTCAGCGGGGCTGTCCTCCTGCGCTGAGTGGCGAAAAATCTCTTTGCTGCTTGATGTAGCCTTTGCAGAATGGGTACTCGGCATGGATCAGGATGACTATAGGTGTTATGTTTCCAACTGATTCCATGAACCGCTGCAGAGACTGGCACTGGTGTACTGGAAGTGGCAATCTTCTTGACTAGGCACAATGCTACATGCAGCGGATCTGCCGGGAGAACTGAATACCTTGACATTTTGCCCACCTCTGCCACTGCGTGAAACTTGTCTTGTACTTCTTGACAGTTGACTGGGCTCTGGAGCCTTCTAACACGGTTGGTAGCTGTTGAGTCAACAGCGACATCTCCGATGACAGGTGCATTGGCCACTGGAGGTGTTGACGGCAATCTGCGGGTGATGTGTCATAGCGAGACATACAATTTCAGTGCGAGAATCCAAATACAGCCCAATCTTTGAGTAGGAGTACATCGTATCGACATCTCACTGCTGCTGTTGTTGCCACTATCATCGTCTTCTCAGAATCATCATCCTCGCCGTCAGGACTACCATCATCAACGTCATCATCATTCCAAGGTACACAGGTGCTCCATGGCTCAATGAGCTGGCCGCTAGCAGCAGGGACTCCAGAACACCGGGGGTTTTAGGTATCCGGGCCTGTGCACATATACATTAGTGTAAAGGAAATGCTTCTCCCCCTGGCCCTCGCCACACAACAACGCAAACTCTTGATTGTATCTTCAATACTCTTATAATTATTATACCAAGAAATGACGAGGGCGCAGGAGGAGAGAGACAAACTTTAGTAACTAAAGTAACACCAAGTTACTTGGTGAGGACAAAAAGGCTTACGGGAAGACTCCCGGGAAAAGACTCGAAGAATCAACAAAGAACAAGCAGTAATAAACCGAGGACAAATCGTGACGACCAATCAGGGACTAATACGTACAGAACACATGACCAAGACCAAGACAACCAGACCACGGACGAATCACACACGACTCTCATTCCCAGACCAAACTAGCACTGCGCATGTACAGCATTCACTTGACAGTTGCTCTCACACAGACGGAAGCACATCCCCAGTCATACTCTGACAACGCGTACTCTTGCATGCACCACATACCATAAACATCACACATCACACCATACTCGCGCGTACACCTAGACAAACACTGGACTCCACAAGACCAGAACCAAATACAACGACATGCGTAAATCAATACACGACGAAATCCGTTACATTAGCACCAACACAAAATGAGCATAATGTGGCCTCAGCATTTGCACTGTGCAACTGTGCACTAACGTATGGCTAGCACTTTACACTTCGGTGTTCCCTTTCCAAACAAAATCCACGGGCATACGCCCTACAGAAATGTATCATCTCTTAAAGGGATGTTAACGCATTCTTTGACAAATTAGCACCAAGAAGTGCCCCGGAATAACAATGGCCACTATGCAGCAGAAAACCACATTGGTACGATCAGAGTGGCATGACTCTCATAGAACTCCACCATTGTGATAACTTTGCCAATCAGGTACAAAAATTGGGTAAGCCAAACATTCTCGCCCTCCCGTGGAAACATGAATGCATCTACCGCAACACAGCCTGGGTTCCACCATCGTGAACAATACCGATTAGTTTTCCTTGTGCTCACACTAGCAAAACAGTTTAGGGTGTGTGGGCCCCACTCTTCATCCAACCACTCAAAAACAACAGGCATGGACAATTTTCGAAAAATAGTCCGCAAGTTTGTTATCTTCATGCCGCACCCATTCTGCCACTAGCTGAATACCATACTGCTGGCAAATCCTATAGGTTAACAACACTATTTCCTGCAAACGGGAATTCCTACTTCCATTCATCAGAGTATAAACTGCTGCTTGGTTATCAGTGCGATGAATGCAAGTACGGTCTTCAACAGCCAGAGCCAGGGACTCGAGGACCAATTCGGCGCCCTTCAGTTCCCGCCATGTGGAGCTCATGTTTCATTTGCAAACTTGGGGGGGGGGGAGGCGCAATTCCCTCGAGCAGCTTCAAAACCTTTTGACAGGGTAAAACCGCCCCATCCACTATCACTAGCGTCGGACTAGGTCGATACTGCTTTTACTGGCTCGGATTTCCATATCGGCTTGCCATGCAGCTTGGCAAATGTGTTTGCCCAAAATCGGATTTCTTTAGCAACATCGCTTGGTAAAAACGTCAATGCATTCCATGTGCTTCTGCTTTCGATAAACCGGTACATTCCTCTTGTGCGGAGCCTGCCTTGGCCCTGGTGCTACAGACATAGAGAGCAAAGTCCCAGCCAGGCTCTCTACAGCTCGTGCTGAAACTGGTCTTTCGCGCTGCAATTCTGCTACCCTCTTTTGAAATTGCTGTACCCACCTGTTTGAAGCTATTATCTCACCGTGCTCAAAATCAAGCTCGAAGCCAAGCACCTCAACTTTACAGGAGGGTATCCAACAGCATTTGGTTGGGTGTGGAGTGAAACCTGCTTGAACTAAGTCAGCTTTCATTGCGGCTACAACTTTCAATGCACTTGGTGTGACTCATAACCCCAGTGCCATCGTCCATGTACAATTGACAACGGATACCCTGCCGTCTCCAATACGCAAGCAAGGGCGATTTCAATGTGGTGATAACCACTTTTCAAGTCAAAGGTCACCACATAGTCTCCCTTCCTGTACACATCAAGCACTCTCCGGATGTCTTCTAGCTTAAACTGAAAAGATGCAAGGTGCTTGTTCTAAGGTCAACAATCAATCTTAGGTTTTCATCCCATTGTCCACTACACCAAAAGGGGGCTACATACTACTAGTTCATTTGCTTCCCTTGCACAACCCAGACGAAGCATTTTACCACTTCTGTTTCTACAAATCCTGCATGTTGGATTGCACTTTCAGGGCTTGCAAAAATCTTGGTGGAGGGACGTGATGAAAATGGAATCACATACCCATTTCTGATAACTGCTAAAACCATTCTTGATTCACCAATGCATTTCCAAAATGATACGTGTTGTGTTAGACCACCCACTATTACGTCATTCAGCCCGTCCCCTCCCTTATCTTCCTCACACACAAGCTGGGCAACCATGTACTCTGAACAAATTGTTTCTTCCAAACACCAAACATCATCATCAACATCATCGTCATCATCGTCACCATCATCAACAACATCATCAACACAGACAAACTTAGCTTTTGCTGAGCTTCAGGCAGTATGTGTGCCATCTCTCAGCAGTGATGGCACACAGCCGTGGACTGCCGGGTTGTGGGCGTGGATGGATTGGCTGGCAATCGTTGTGCTGGGGCAGGCCGGGCTGTTGCGGCACTCCAGCTGCCGGCTGGTGAGGGAGTGCTGGCCCGAAAGGGCTTCTGCTGGGGCTTCGAGCCATTCTTCCCCTATTTTGTGGCTTCGATTGCCAGGCGGGGAAGTTTGCATTAGTCTGTACTGGCCAAGAGGCCAGCCATGCCCCCCCCCCTTCTGCGGACGCTGTGGCGGTGTTATGGCCATGGCGGTCCGCCACTGCCAGCCAGTCCAGCTTCTTCTGTAAGACCTCGCTCGCGCCCTTCAGTTCCTTAATAGCCTTCTCCTTTTGGGATTTCTTGACTCTTTTTTTAGCTGGTTGGAGGTGGCCAGATGACTGTGTAAGACATTCAAATTGGTGCTGATAACTCAGCCGCTTCATACCTGGCATCGTGATTGTACTAGGCACTGATTTGCTCCAATTTTTACTCTTCCGCTTCTTGTCACACCTCCTCTCCGGAGATGACTCCGACAACTCCGACGAGGACGAGCTGGACGACGACGGCGACGACGAGGAAGAGGAGGCCGACTGGCCCCGTTTCCTCTCCTTCTGCCGAAGGAATCGGCTTTCCAGGAGACGCATCCTCAACTCTTCCTCGTTTTGCAAGGAGGTTTCAGCTGTCTCCCGCGCAGCTTCAGCACGACGACCTCTCGGCATGATGGCAAAAATCGGAATAAGTAAAAGGAAAAGTTTGACACGTGCAACAAAACAGACTGCACCCTTGACAAGCAAGACAAAAAGAAGGGTAATCTTCTTGCGTAAGCGCTGTTCTACATCGCTCGAGGCTCGCTCACCAATGATTTATTACGTCCATACAGTGACGTCAACCTGGACTACGTGCCACAACAAAATAATAGTACACATAAAAACAAGCATTGCCAATTTTCGAAGTTCGAGAGAACATTGCTTCTCGTCTCTTTCGGATACTCAGCTAACGAGAAGCGAACACAGGTGATTGTCGCGCTGGAAATGAAGCGTCACTGAAAGTGCGTATTCCTAGTGATTTTTTGGCTCTCAGGCAAAAGTGAAATTTTCTTTATACCTGAGACCTTTGCCGTTGGAAAATCCTACTTTTCAAAGGTATTAGAAGGCAGGTGTGATGATACTTGTTCTAACACCGTGAACATTCACTCTCGATCCACATTCATTCTCGCTCCATATATACTCGGGCAGACACAGAGACATAGACAGCAATGGCAACAGCACCCAAATTGAAGGGTAGTTGGCCGCAGCCAGATGTGAACATTCACGCTATCACTGCTGAGAATCCTCGATGCCTACCCACATTTGATTGGGTTGAAAGGATGCTAGGCCAGGATCATCCACATACCAATGGTACGTGTAAGTAAAATAGCTCTTCCTCACATTTCCCCAAGAAGAATAAATAGGTTATCACTTACGTTGGCATGTAGGTTTGGCTTGAGACCATTGTCCAGTTCCTATACATGTCACTGTGAGTGTACCACTTGGTATGTTCTCCATCTTATAACCTGTGTTACAAGTGTATCTTATTGTCTTTCCATACTCAACTCCGTTTCGTACATATTGACCATTAGTAGGTCGACCAGGATCTACACAAAATATACCTGTTAGAACAACAACACAGTCCTTTTCAAACTATTATCATTCTTATGTTAACTGTTGTAAACTTACTCTTTGCATGGCTTAGTGACATTTTACTATGTAGGATCAAGTGTGTTTCCAGTGATATCATGAAAGCCTATTACCGAGTGTAAATACAGTACTGCTTCATGAAATCCGATCAAGCCAGTCAATGCAACGCCGGGCAATGTGCAGCCCTCCACCTGTTAACATTTGGATGTGAATTAGTGCAGGGTGTAAATTGAACTCACGCGTCAGGATTTCATTGAGCAGATCTGCACACGAGTGTTATTATGCTAACACATGCAAGCAGCCAGACAGCTTGCAAAACGATTTTTTCACTCGTAACACCCCCCCCCCCTCCCCCTCAGGTTGCTTTTCCACTCAGAGTCTTCTGGCAGCTCCATGTGGTAGTATTATGAGGTTGACTTTGAGACATCTAGCGGTTCCAAGTGGAGTCACTTACGTTGACACTCGGGTTTAGGCTGAGACCATGCCTTGGTTTCCATACACGTTGCTGTCAGAGTACCAGTTGGATGACCCACCATGAAATATCCTGTACTACATTCATAAGTTACTGTATCCTGGTATCTCACACCTGTACGTCTGGATTTACCATTGGCAAGTGAATCGAGTTGTGGACAGCTAATACCTGTTAAACATTCAACACAATTTTTAATACACACAAGGTTACCCAGACGAAACCCCAAAGCACTAAAAATTTGCGTGTTCAAGATTTTGAACTCCATATTCTTCAGCAACCACAATCACAAAAAGAGAGGTTTGAAACATCACTATAATAATGGGAAATCACGAAGTGGAAGCACGAATGACACTGAGTGAGTGTCAAAAACGCTCCCACATGCACACCAGGGCATGAAATAACAGTCGGACATCGGACATTTTCCCACTGTTTTTGGTCGTTGTCCGGGCGAAATATCCGGTTGACGGACAAAGTGTCCGATCGAACCGATACGAAAAAATACTCCATGGGCATTTGTATGCACGCAGGCGCTGTCAATTTTTTGTTACTCCGCCAAATCTTGATCAAATTCAACAATCGATAGATCTAAGTGGTAGAGAAAGCTCTCCGCTATCGCCTCGAACAGGTCCGAAGTCTCTCTGACGAAGTTTGAGTGAGCGGCGATCGATCAAACACTTTGAATTCTCTAGGCTGCGTGCTGCGAGTCGAGTCAGCAGATTTTCCTTGTGATTCAGGACAGGCAGCAGTGCTGGCAGGAACGAGAGCAGCACGGTCACGCGTATTCATTGAAAGGTAAAGGTACCACTCGCAAAAAAATTGAGTAGTTCCGAGCTGAATTCAGTGAAATGCCTGATTGAAGGAGACCAATTTCGTCTCAGATCAGGACCTGGACTCCCGTTTGGAGCGCGTTGTGGTGGACAATGAGTTGTCCTCTTGGCGAGTTAGGGCTCATTGTACTTCTCTTATCAAGAGCTTTCTAATGAGCCCAAGATCATCAAAATCGGTCAAGTAGAACCAAAGTAATGTTGGAATTAGAGTGCGCATTTTCAGGCAAGAAGCTCCGTGCTGTGCGAGTGGCCACTTGTGACAAGTGGACTGCTGAGTGAGACAAGGACCTTTCGACATCCATTTGGTTGGAGTATGAGAGATACAAAGACGATCGCGCCGGGGTGAAGTGCTTAGATGGAAGCTTTGTGTGCGGTTCGCCGAGAAGATTTGTTGGTCCAAAAACATCTTGGAGTCCTTCCTCGTTGAGGGAGAAAATTGAAAATGTCGGCTTTCAAAGACAAGTATGGCAAAATGGTATGTCCGGGTATGTCCGACCAATTGAAGTGTCAAGAAATTTTGTCAGAGCAACCCTGATTTCTTATTGCATGGCCTGCACACCATAAACGTTTCTTTTCTCCAACACCCAAAACGGTATCTTGGCTACGAATATCTTCACATTTCACCAAATTGTCTCGTCTGGCTCATCATCAGGGTCAAACTTCTACACTATACGAGATAGAAATCCGTAACGGAATCTGGTGTAGCGAGTCAAAGAAAGGAAGCAAGGTTACAAGCAAATGTACAAAATAAAACAGTGATGGAGCGCGTTCTTGCACCCACGTTTTTACAGGCCCAGAGTTCAATCGACTCTGCATCACTCGAGCTGCGGTTACTTGAGCTGGCTGCTTGTGTGTCTAGCTGGTGGCGTAGAGTATCTCTTGCTTTCTCAGCCTGGCGCATGGCAGCGATGGGAAAGGGACAGTTCAATGCTGTCACCTAGGTGCTTGGAAGAACCGTGGGCAGGGTGGCAAGTGAAATCCGACACTTGGCATAAGGGACTGGACTATGCAGTCTGCAGTCCCTGCAGCCCTGCATACGTAGTACACTGCGTTGCATTTACATACAACTTCATCTCTCTGATGACAAAACTTGTACTCATCACAGTCAAGGTTCACAGTCAAGGTTCAAAAGGTGCTGGCAAAATTGAAAAATGAATGAGGATTGGACACCAATACTCCTTATGTACCATGTTTGTGACCTGTGTGTATCTACGCTGTGACCTTTCGATCTGTTTGAGATGCATACGGCTCTATTGTACAACTTAGGTGCAGTGCATTACATCATTGGTGTCGATTTTCGGCGCGGTCCCCTATGGCAATTGTCGGATTTCACTTGCCACAACTGTACATGCACAGTGTATGTATGTGTGTATACAATACCGATAACACTTACGTAGACATGTAGGCTTGGCTTGAGACCATTGTCCAGTTCCTATACATGTCACTGTGAGTGTACCTTGTGGCATCTCATAACCTCTGTTACAAGTGTATCTTACAGTCTTTCCAAACTCAAATCCGTTGTGTGTATATCGACCATTAGTAGGTCGACCAGGATCTACACAAATTATCCCTGTTAGACCAACAACACAATTCCATACAGTTTTTATGAGAAGCTTTATCAGACATGATCATCAGCGCATGGGTGATACTGACTCACGCTACTGTCTGGAGTTTGTGTTCTCTCGCACACCTCACATTTGAAACAGCAAAAACCACAGTGCAGGGTCGGCTGCGGACAGCCACATTGCCTTGTTTCAAGGGAAAAACAGGGTTGCCAGAATGGAGGCAAATGATACAGCAACTGCAGAATAACCACCCAGATAAAAAATAAGCAAATAGAACTTATAAAATCAGCAGTGCAGAAAAATACAGCAAAGAAACCACCGCATTCAGAACAAAGTAAATACATGGGGCGGGTGGGTGGGCTCTTGACAAGCATGACAAAAAGAAGGACAATCTTCTTGCGCAAGCACTGTTCCACAGCGCTCGCTCAACAATGATGTGACGTAAGTTAGTTAACTAGTACCTGAAAGGCCTAGCTAGATTTCGAGTGGATTTCGAAAGCGACGGGTGGGTGATTCAGATTGATACAGCACCGCATCAAAATAAATTTTCTTGTCACACTGCGCAGGCAAGAGCAGCGCGACGCACAAGAAAATAGTCGGCTACTCGGAATCAGTTCCATTTTGCAAAACAGCCGAGATCGCTCACCTGCGGGATCGCTCGCAAATCTGAGATCGCAGTTCCCTCACCTCCAGCTCAACGCGTATCCAACGTATCGTGGAGATTTGCAAGTACTGTACGCGTCATCGTCGTTCAAAATAAATCTTGCAAAGAGCGGCGACTGATATGAACCACACAGGCAGTCGTGCTGCCCACGCAAACTTCCTATAGAGAAGGCGACCGTCGCGATCGACTTCCCTTTAGCCCCATCCCTCACACAAACAAGTCAACAAAGAGGCATCTTTGGATTGAGGAGTGCTGGTTTCAAAACAACTGGTTTGAAGTTCAAAGTAGAGCTGCTGTTAGCTCAGAGCAGAGCAGGTGTTAGCTCAAAGTAGAGCTGCGGTTAGCTCAAAGTAGAGCTGCTGTTAGCTCAAAGTAGAGCTGCGGTTAGCTAAAAGTAGAGCTGCTGGTAGCTCAAAGTAGAGCTGCGATTATCTCAAAGTAGAGCTGCTGTTAGCTCAAAGTAGAGCTGCTGTTAGCTCAAGGTAGAGCTGCTGTTAGCTCAAAGTAGAGCTGCTGTTAGCTCAAAGTAGAGCTGCGGTTAGCTCAATATAGAGCTGCTGTTAGCTCAAAGTAGAGCTGCTGTTAGCTCAACGTAGAGCTGCAATGCTAAATGGATGTAATATCGCGCAAGGAATGCTCAGTGTATCATGATTCATGCTTCACTGTATTGTGCCGTGCTCGTAGGTTTCGTGAACTTAAGGTATTAGAAGCTGTTTTCATCCGTAAACACAATCCTAATCTATGCATTCAGAAAGAAAATGTCACAAAACTGAGACTCTTCACCTAGCATTCACACACGTATTCATTCGCATACACCTACACCTCACAGTTCCTCACTCTATCACATTCACCTGCTTTCACGCCTTCATTTCACTCACCTTTTGTAGTAGCTCACACCGTCGGAACACTCTCACATCTTTTCTTTTAATTTCTCTCATCTTCTCTCCCACTTTAGTTAGTTTTGTTTTTCACACCTCACCTTGTATACTTCCCACTGTCCGATAACCTATAAGTAGTTTGTTTCTCCGTATAGCCTCTATTGTGAGACGAATTTTTCCCTGATGATAGTCTCAAGAAAATCGATTAGGAACAACCATTTTAGATACATGTATTCTCATTCATCATTTTGTAATGTCCGCTTCACTTATACTATTAATCGCAATAATAAAGGTACTGGTTCATTCCATACATGTACATGTACGTCATAATGCATGATTTTTGTTCATTTTTACACTCTTCAGAGCGTAAAAACTTGCGTACAAGTATGTTCTACGCATATTATATACACAGCAAGGCATCACTGGTGCCCCCATTGCATTTTGTCATGTCCCAGCGACTAATCAAGCGAAACTTGCCCTACCTGGATAGTGGCCTCCACATATTCCCTGCTAGAAATCGTTATAAAATGGAAAAATGCCGAGTGGTCAGCCCATTTTATACCGTTATAGGGGTAATATCGTTATAGCAATGTTGTTCTAATGCAGTAATGGCAGGGCTGCCACTTGCTTCGATTTTTCGGAAATCGTCCGATTTTTGATCGCCTGTCCGACAAACCGACCGATTTTGTTCCCAAAGTGGGACAACCGATTGTTTTATTTTGAGCACTTTTTAGTCCAGTTGGCTGGTCATTTGTACACGTAGATCTACGTACATGTAGCTGTAAAATGCTCGCGTGCCTGCATGCACTTGGAGTATGTACGGGATGAGCTGTAGCAACGGCGGTTGCTACAGGCGCCAGGCAGCTTTGCACCTAGTAGACCATTGCCTTACCATTAAATGGTAAGGCATTGACATTGTATACAAAAGTCAATGGAGTGATTTGGTTTGACAGAAAAATATCGTTATAAGGATAATATCGTTATAGAGGTTATCGTTATAAGGGTAGGTCGACTGTATCTTCAAGTTGACCTTTTGAGTCCGCTGCAGTGGTTTTATCGGTAGTGATCCATCCTGCCCTGCTATTCCTGAGACCCAGGTTATTCATAGTTTTGCCGGTTCGCCATTGCAGTTTTTCGGATGCCCCTTCTCGTTTGTTGAACCTGGGTGTCTGTGTGTATCGTTCCTCACCAGCCTCGTACTTCGGAGACGCTAGTTGCCATACCAACTACGTTCTGCCGGACTGCCTTGGATTGGCTCACGTGCCGCGCTCTGCACGCAACCTTGCCGTTGCTTCCTGGCCCTGGCGGCCCAGGCGCTCACACCTAGTAGTAGTACCTGGTATCTGTATCTTCGCCGGTGACGGGCTGTGGGTGGCGTGTGTTCAGTCCTCGAGTACTGTAGCGCGTGTAGGTCATGTGGGCGCATGTTTGTGCCCCTGAGCGCCGCCCGACCGTCCCTTAGGATGTCAGAGGCCCCAGTACCATGCCAGATGAGGCAGAAGGACCCAGCCGTATATTTGATTTAGCAATTGTAACCCAGGACGGGCTTGTAAAAATTGCCAAATCCTGCAGAGTGTATGAAAAGGGACTAGGAAGTGTCGAGCTTGTAGCTGCTCTCCGTAAAGCCGGGTTCGACAGGAACTGTGGTGGAGGATCAGTCCCTGTGCAAGCCTGCTCGGAGGCGCAGGCTTCACCAGACGACATCGCAGCTCTCAAGATCGCAGTTGCCGGCCTCCAGAACGCCGTGAGGGACCTCACAGCAAGTCTCCAGCTGGTAAGACACAATTATGAATCATGTGCCCCACCATTGCCCAGTTCCCACGTGGGTAAGGTACAGGGCTAGCTTGTCGTGAGTGGTATTCCGATGATGTATTCTCTGTTTTGTCGCGTGGTAGGTTCTTGTTACATCTTGCCGTGTTGGAAGCTTTGTACATACGTAAGTTAGACCCTGAGCTTTGTGTTCAGAAGGAGAATGTGTTGTCTTTGCAGTTGTTTGGCACTGTTCGTCGTGAAGGTGCGAAATAGATCCCTTGATCTCTTGATATTTCTCTCTTTTTCTTGTCACTACGTTTTGTCACTTATTGGATTTGCATGCTGTTTTCTTGATTCTTCACATCTATTTTTTCGTGTCACTTCTACACATAATTGGAGTGATATATTTCTGAACTTCTTTTCCTTATAGTTGTAGTCTTTTAGCTTATTTCCATCATTCCCTGTAGTAATTTGACAAGAAGGGAACGAAAACGTTCAATACTTTGACACATGTCCTAATTGGCTGGTGGTGACTCTTGCGTATGCATGCGTAGATAATACATTTTTTGTATTATTATTATTATATAATACTTCCTCCGCGTCATCGAAATTGTCGCAGTTTGACTTTTGACATAAAACGGGGTATTTACTCACCAGCTCTCGTACCAGAGGCAAGGAATTGGACATAGGCGATAGTCATCAATATAGGGTGACGGCAAAGTTCTATTTTCTGTTATTGGAAGCTGAAATCTTTGAACTAGACGCGATTTCTTCGCTGATGTCGCTGCGATGGTAATTTCGACTCGTTGAGATCAGTCAGGCGTTGCAGCCCCCACATTTCTCGTGCTTATGGCCTTTCACTCAAGCCTCATCACTATTTTACCTTAGCTGGGGTGAGACTGACTTCGTGGAACAAGTAGCGGCGCTTGGAGAAACATCGAGGGGTCAGCAAACTAAATGCATGCAACAGCGATAAAATGTGTCGCTCTGGCTGAGACACTCAGTACATGATTGTACGTGTACCTGCAAGAGCCGTGTAGACTCTACACGTAGTGCTAGTGATGCACGCGCAGATGCCGTACCAGTGATGCAGAAAAAGAGGGCGTGCTGGACGTGACAGTACACTTACCTGCATGAGCTGCTATTCTCTCCACCCTTGACCAACATGCACCCATCACTACCCGCCGCCGTGCAGACCGGCGTCCATGTCCCTGGCTGACTCGCGACCTGGTTGAGTGTGTCCGGAACCGAAACAGACTGCACCGCCGTCTAATGCAAGATAGAGCAAACGAGGCACTCCAGCAGGAGCACCGAGCTGCACGTGCCAAGGCCAGAAAGCTAGATAGACAGTTGAAGAATGCTTACTTTATGGATCAATGCTATACGTCTGATCAGAGGAAACTTTGGTCCGTGATGAACACTGTCACCGGACGAAAGAAGACCCACCGAGTACCCCAGGTATCAGCTGACCAGCTGGGCGACTTCTTTGCAGATGTTGTTCATGACCCCAGTCGACCTACGCACCTACAGATGCCAGTTGGCCCTACGAAATCTGATGCCCTTACAGCCTTCCAACCTGTGTCGTTGTATGATGTCGCTAAGCGTTTGCAATGTGTGGATCCACATAAAGCTACAGGAAGTGATGGAATCCCAGGTATTGTGTTGAAACGTTGCTCGGACACCCTCTCCCCATACCTGATGAAGATCGTCA